TTCCTAACAGTAGCAAAATTACAGTTATGAAGTAGCAACGAAAATAATTTTATGGTTAGGGGTCACCACAACACGAGGAACTGTATTAAAGGGTCGCGGCATTAGGAAGGTTGAGAACCACTGATCTAAAGGATTGTTGGACTGGGGAAGTTTGACCTTAAGAAAAATAATTGGTGGGCAATGGGTTAGTGGGTGAACAGACATAGGGGAAATCTACACAAAGTTCAAGGAAGAGAGCTTTTATTTAACATAAGAAAATTTGGTAATATTGAAATTAACTGTGTTAAGTTGAGGGGGAAATCTACACAAAGTTCAAGGAAGAGAGATTTTATTTAACATAAAATTTGGTAATATTGAAATTAACTGTGTTAAGTTGAGTTTCTAACATCTGGAAGTATGCAGGTAAAAACAGGCTTGCGGGGTTATTAACTAAAGGGATTCCTTCATCAGACCAGAGAGCCTGCAGGGACCATTCCAGATCTGAGTTTTTAGCTCATTTACTTTCCAAAGCATCTTCAAGCCATATTTATTTTCCCACATCTCTAGTATCTATTCCTACTGCTGCTCTCTAGCTTAGCTTTTTCATTGTCACAAGTTTGGATTATGTAGTGACCTCCTAATTGGTCTTTCTAGTTCTCTTGCCCCTTTATCTTCCAGGCTGGTATCCAATTATTTTCCCCCCCCACAGCTTTTTGAGTCTTTACATACTATTAAATTCACTTGTTTAAAATGTGCAGTTCATTGTGTTCTTGTTATATTTACAGAGTTGTACAAGCATCAACATAATATAATTTTAGACCATTTTCATTACCCCCCAGGAAAACAGCTCACACCCATTAGCAGTTACTCTCCATCCCCCTTAACCACCAGCCCGAGGTAACCACTCTCAGTTAATTTTTTATGTAAAACACGGCTTTCATTGTGTTGTTCTTCACATGATCAAGAAAACATTTCTCACTTGGAGTTCATGTTTTTCCATAATTTGACTTCACCTTATTTTCCCAACTTTGCCTTATACCCTTCCCCAGTCTGAGTGTACAGACCTTTGTAGGTTCATCTACTACTTGTTCTTGAGAATTGTGTCCTACCTTCCTTTTGGTTTCCACCATTCCTCTATAAGTCCACTCTTGGACTGACTCCTAGATCAAGGTCTCCAGCTCTCCTAGACTTCCCTCATCCCTGCCTTGGCCTCCTGTAATGCTCAACTTGCAAGAGTCACTAATAATACATCACTTTCATATCTAAGTACCAATGCTCTTTTCAGTTACTGAGCCACACTTCTCTTCCTTCTTCCCTTGAATTTTCAGCTTTTTGTTTGTTTGTTAATCCTCACCCGAGGATATTTTATTTTCAGCTTTTTGTTTGTTTGTTAATCCTCGCCCGAGGATATTTTTCTACTGATTTTTAGAGAGTGGAAGGGAGAGAGAGAAACATTGATGGAGAAACGTTGATGTGAGAGAGAGACATCAATTGGTTGCCTCCTGCACACACCCCGACCAGGGCCAGGGATTGAGCTGCAACTGATGTTTGTGCCCTTGACTGGAATTAAACCCAGGACCCTTCAGTCCACAGGCCAGTGCTCTATCCACTGAGCAAACCAGCTAGGGCTTGTTCAGGTTATCGTGTGTATATGTTGATTTCCTAAATTGATTATAAACTTTTTTTCAGGACTGGGACCATATATACTTTCAATACCTTGTGTAGCTTAGCTGAGCATATGGCTGTGCACAGAAATAGTATGTAAATATAATGGAATGAATAGCATTGGTATTGAGCAGAAGGCCGAATCTAGATTCTGTGACAGCCACAGACTTCAAAGTTTTATTAGACATGTTCATGTTTTATACAGCTTCGCTTTGTCTAGAGCTTAATACCACATTCTTTTATTAATTCATTCAGTAAATGCTGTTGGGGCCATACTTTGTCTATTAATTTCTCAAAACCCTGTTCTTAAATTAGTTAACTTTTTCTCATTGCTGTCATGTAGCTGAATCCTGCTAGCTTTCAGCTCCGCATTATTCTGGAAATTTTCTGCTGTTTATAGGACTTTCTTATGGTAGATGAGCACATTACCACAGTCTCTTTAGTCTAGCCAGTCCTATGGTTATACACCTTGTAGGACTTTATTACTATAGGTTGGTGCATAACCTCAGTCTCTGTGGTCCCTTTACGTACTTCCTTGTGTGTGACACCAGGAAAGTACCATGTTCTGAGAGGTGCGGGGTGATGAATGCTATGGGAGACACTGCTTTTTCCCTTACGCCACTTATGGCTTGATTTCAAACGTAGAATAGCACTTTCAGTTTAAAACCAGAGCAAGAAAAGTACTACCTCCCAAGTGTTAAGAGTTATACAGAAAAGAGTAACACAAACGTCTAGGTTCTCAAAGGCTCTCACAGTCTCATGGTAGCGAGTGATTTAAAAACCCCAAATAGCTATACAACAGTATCCTGAGTATTGGAGTAGACGAGTGGGTGCTCAGGATTCCAGCAGCCTACAGGAGGGCTTGATTTCTTTCGGCACAGCGGAATGACAGTTTGGGAGCCGGAGGAGAGCTGGTGAGCCCTTTGAGGACCGGATATGTCTTGATTATTTTTCTATCTCCCATGCCTAGCGGAGTGCCTGACATGTGGGACATGATCAATAAATAAAAAATGAATAAGTCATCTATTCTGTGCCATCCAGCCTGGTAGCGACTGGCCACATGGGGCCACTGAGATCTTGAAAGGTGGCTGGTGGGAATTGAGGTGTGTTGTGAGTGCAAAGGGCTTTTGTGAGTGCAAAGGGATTTTGAAGAGTAATTTAAGAAAAAAGCGTGGAAAATACCAGTTTTACAATAAATGTTGATTATAGGTTGAAATGATGTTTATTTGATATATCGGGTTAAATAAAATAGATGATTAAAATGAATTTACCTATTTTTACTTTCTAAAAATATAGAAAGTATAGGCTACTAAGGAAATAAAAATGACATATGTCTTGTATTTCACTTCCGTTGGACAATGCTGATCTCATTTAACTCTGTTAGAGAAAGTGAGACCAAGGTCACAAAACAGCAGAGATGTCCTTAAAATTGAGAATTTACATGCTGGGCTTCTTGAATTCTAGTGTAGTTCTTTTTCTATGCATAATTTAGTACAATGTAAACACATGAATTTTGAGGTTAAAAGGCATCGATTTGGTCTTGTTAGGGATGACATGACCTTTCTGCTTTAGTTATCCTATCATTGAGCTTTATCATCATTAAAATTTTCTCCTTTTATATGTAAATTTTGATCTTCAGAAAAATCTACATTTTTAGTTCTCAGTTTTTTCTGCAGTTGACACCTCTATTCCCACTTCTCTCTTGCTCTTTCCCTTCACACACACACACACACACACACACACACACACACACAGCCTCCTATTGTACTCCTTTTTGTTTCCATTAACATTCTTCAAATTATATTAGCATCTTTATTTGTATTTGGGGGAGATAAGCCTTTGCTGTTACATGGGGTGCTAGCTGGTTGTTTTAGTGTCTTGTACATGCAGTAATTATCTCACGTAGTCCTTGAAACCACATGATGTATAGGCCCTATTATGATTCTGATTTTGCAGTTATGCAATGTCAAGCTTACAGAGAGCAGTATGCTCAAGGTCACACAGCTAATAATACACAGAATCTGTAAGCTGGAACTGTCGAAAGAAACGGCAGGAAATGGGAAATTGACAGGCCTGTACACATTGGGGAACTCTGGGTTCATAGAATTGAGGATTAATGTGCCAGGAAAAAAGTACAAAAATCCATTCCAAAACCTGTGCCTTTGTGAATGAGTATGTGTATGTAAGTATATGAGAGAGAGAGAGAGACAGAGATAGATAGGGATAGAGAGGGATGGATGGATTATGCTAATCGAAATAAGCCAGTCGGAGAAAGATAAATATCACGTGATCTCACTCATATGTGGGATATAATGATCAACATAACCTGATGAACAAAAATAGATCCAGAGACAAAGGGCAGGGCAGGGGGGTGGTTAGAGATCAACCAAAGGACTTGTATGCATGCATATTAGCATAACCAAATATGTAAAACTTTAGACATAAAACAAAACCAAAAAACTCCCCATGATGTAACAGTTCACTGAAAATTAAAGGTGTCATTTTCTGGTTAAAAAAAAAGAGAGAGAGAGAGAGGGATGGATAGAAAGTATGGATGAATGAATATGATTGATTTTGAAGACTGGGTCCCTATGTCTTCACCTGTCCTGCCTCTTTCTGTTTTTCCTTCCTGACCCTTTCCCCATTTCTGACAGTGGAATTACTCAGCACACTTCCATTTTCTTCACTTCAGCTCAGTTCAGTTCAAATCAGTATACCTAAGTCTGAACAGCTGTTTACAATAGTTTTCTGTGGATAGGGGGATCTCAGGTGATTAAATATTTTTTGTCCTCTATATTATTTGACATTTTTTACATTAACATATACTAAAAATGCTGTATAAAAAGAATAGCAAAAGTATTTCCATTTGGAAAAAAAATCAGTATGCTTGTTAGTGTTCATTCCAAAAATAAACCTTTTACCTTAAAATTTCAGCATCCCATAACTTTCTGCCATTCCAGTGTTCCTTGGCCTCAATTTCATAGCCCCCAGGTGAATGATTAGAATAAGCTGATTCTCCAAAAGCCAATGGTATATACAGCATCTCTCTGTCACAGAGACGAGCTTTCTCATAGAAGTCATATTTATGTCTTTAACAAAGATGTTTAGTTGTGTGGGTTATTTTGGCAGATTGTTTTTAAATAACAGGGGCTCATAGTGGTCACATCCTGCAAATACTTTCAAATGCTTTGAGTTTGAACCTGCTGTGTTTCTGGCATTATGTGACCTTGATTCTTATCCAGCCCGCCACTTGATAAATTTCCTTTCCAAAGTACCCAGCAAGGGTGAATTTACTTATTGTCTCAGGAACCCTTGAAAAGTCCATATTTCTCAGTTTGCTTTTCATTATTTATTGACCTGGTTTATGCTCTTTTAAGATGCGAGTGATCAAAGAGAAGATGTTTATATTGGAAACCACATGCCTTGCCCTGAAAACCTCAATGGTTACTGCATCCATGGAAAGTGTGAATTCATCTATGCTACTCAGAAGGCTTCTTGTAGGTAAGCCGGTACCTCCAGGTCAGAGATGAGACATTTTTTCCTATTGGTGGTCCCTGCTCTATACAAGGCAATGAAATGTGGATGAGCTGTTACCAAAAAATACTGTTTACTTGCAGTAGAGATATTTTAAAAAGCGTCATTTCAAAAAACTTGGCAGATAATATGCAAAACAGTGTTGTATTAGGATTTTGAGATTTCACATTTTTAATATGATGTTATACGTATATTTTCATATAAAAATAAGTATACTTCAACACTATTTGGTTGTTAGGCAATCTGTCATAAGGTGGTTGAGGGACTGAGGAATGTGGGAAGAACAGAGAACATGTAACTCAGAATATATGCTAAAATAGATTTCTAAAAATAAGGAGATGAGGATGTAGAACCAGGTGTGATGGGAGAGATGGAAACGGAAAGGGTGTAAACTCGTCTGATTCCAGAGAGATTATGTGACTTGTTCACAGTTAGCAGCAAGTTACAAATAGAGTTGGGACAAAATTAGAGCTCTGATTTTCTGATATTCAACCTGTGTTAGTGCTTTTTGCTGTTCTGTGTCTGTCTACCAATAGCCCTTCTTACTGCTGCTGCCTGGAGCTCATCCTCTCCCTCAGGTTGGTCCAGTTAGCCAGGTGCTGTTCCCATAGACGAGGGGAGACGGGTTATTCTGCTCACTCCTGCCTCCTGAAGTTTCACCAGAATCCTTTTTTCTTTTCTTTGTAAAAACATCAAAACATGGAGAACTAGTATCCTTTTCTTTTGTCCTGCCAGTCTCCAGGCCAGTAACTCTCGCTCTCTAAGAAGTAAAAGAGGCCACTTGAAATCAGGTCTCTTGGTTTCTGTACTCCTCTAGCTCCTTTCTCCTGACTCTTTCGTTTTCCTCCTCTCCTCCTGCTTTCCAAAACAAGACAGAATCAACAAACAAAACCTTACTGTAATGCATATCACCTTCTAAAATAACCATTCACTTATTATGTGCATTGACCCTCCCTTACCCAGCTAGAGGGTAACCAGGCCAGGGATCTTTATTTCTTTTGCTCATTGATGTTTCCCATATGCCCACTACAGTACCTGCTACATGTCAGGTACTCAGTAAACATGTTAATTGAATGAATCAGCACTTGAGGCCATGGAAGTGAATGGGATTACTGTGGAAGGTATGTGGGGTGAGAGAATAGAGGGTAGCGTAGCCTGGATCTGCCTTTAATGAATAGCAGATGAAGAAGTAATCACCTAGAAGTTAATACTCAAGGTATTTTGAGAGCATAACTCAAAGTGAGTTGCAGAAAATAATATCCAGGGAGGATTGCCTGAACAATAAATGGCCTATACATTCTTTTTTTATATTCTGATTTTAATCTTTGGATTAAGCTTAACTGTCAGAGTGCTGCATATCTAGGGCGGTGTTATAGCTCCCTGTGGAACTTTTTATTTTACTGAGCTTTGACTTCTGGCCATTAGCTTACCATGAAAGATTATTTAAAATCTCCTAAGGGACTTGCTCATATTATTGAATTTATCGCAGCTGCATTGCTGAGGATGGTGTCCTCTGTACCAGAGGGTTGCCCCTCTTTTAATGAGGACCACTGAGATAAAGTTCCCTTGAATTTAATAACAATAGCAACTGTGGTTCTTTGGAACAGCTGCTTTGATTTTATTTTGTGGAGATTGTATTCTGTATCAGTGATCTTACCACTTTCTTTCGTTTCATTTTTTGGGCACAATTCAATGGTTTTTTTAAGTATATTTGCAGAGTGTTGCAATCGGCATAATGAATTTTAGAATATTTCATCACCCCAAGAAGAAACTCCATACCCTTTAGCTATTACTCCCAAACTTCCCATCCTCCTCAGCCTTAGGCAGCCACTAATCTATTTGTCTCTCTAGATTTACCTAGTCTGGACATTTCATTTAAGTGGACTCATATGATATGTGGTTTTCTGTGACTGGCTTCTTTCACTTAGCCTCATGTTTTCAAGGTTCATCCATGTTGTAGCATGTGTCAGTACTTTGTTCCTTTTTATGGCTGAATGAATTCTATTGAATGGATAATACCACATTTTTAATCCACTTACTAGTTGATGAATATTTGGATTGTTTCCCCTTTTTGGCTATTATGAATAATGCTGCCCTGAATAATTGTTTGCAGGTTTTGTATGGATTTATACCTAATTTCACTTAGGTAAATGCCAAGTGAAATTGCTGGGCCAAATGGTAACTCTGTTTTTAACTTTTTGAGGAAATTTTAGACCGTTTTCAAAAGTGGCTGAACTATTTTACATTTTCTTTAGTATCCTCGCCAACATTTGTTAGTATCTGAATTTTTTATTCTGGCCAAGTGGTATCTTATTGTGGTTTTGATTTACATTTCTCTGAAGGCTAATGGTGTTACTATCTTTTTATGTGTTTATTTGCCACTTGTATATCTTATTTGGAGAAATGTCTGTTTAGATCTTTTGCCCATTTTGCAATTTTTTGTTAAGGAGTTGTTATAGTTTTTTATATATTCTAGATGTAAGTCTCTTATCAGATATATAATTTGCAAAAATTTTCTCCCATTCTGCGGGCTGTCTTTTCACTTTCTTGATAGTGCCCTTATGCACAGAAGATTTTAATTTTCATGTAATTCAATTTAACATTTTTGTTGTTGTTGATGCTTGTGCTGTTGGTGTCATATAAGAGATCATTGCCTAATCTAAAGGTATGAAGATCTACTTCTTTTTCCCCCCTGAGTGTTATAGTTTTAGCTCTTAGTTTTAGATTTATGATCCATTTTGAGTTAATTTTTGTGTATGTTGTGAAGAAGAGGTCCAACTTCATTTATTTGTCTGTGGTCGTCCAGTTGTCCCAGCATCATTTGTTGAACAGACTGTTCTTTCCCCATTGAATTGTCTTAGCACCATTGTCAGGCATCAGTTGACCATAGATGTATGGGTGCATTTCTGGGCCCTCAATTCTATCCCATAGTCTGTATATCTACCTTACTGCGTTTTTGTTTTGTTTTTTTTGTCTGCTAGGAAGCTTAGAGCCCAATGTGACACCTTCTGGCAGGAACCTCGGGGTTGGGATTGGTGGACTCACATCACCCCTGGCTTCCCCTGCTTTATCCCTGTCCCCAGGTTTCTTGTTGTTATTATAAACGCTTTATTAAAAAAGCTTTTTATTTTTTGTAATGAAGCGTGGGACATGAATAAATACACTGTCTATACACTCCAGATGTTTTATTAATCATTTCCAACTGAAGGCTGCCTAATTCATGCATTTTACTTCTGTCAGCTAACATTGTAAATTTTCTGTTAACTATCTTAAATGTTTCCTCCTGTCATATTATTATCATCACGATATTGCTGCCTTTTTATTTATTTTTTAATTGGAATTAGATAATTTCTAAGATTAGCAACTACTCCACTGCTTGTCTTCATTTTTATTATTAATAACTTATCTCCTGCCTGCATCTTAAGTGATGATATTATTTACATTGAAAAGTGTCTCGACTATAATTTGGTGCTATGTTCAAAGAACTGTAAATGTTTATACCTATTTATTCAATAATCCCATTTCTAAGTAGCCTAAAGAATAACACTAATATACAAAAGTATACATTCAACCAAGATGTTCACCACACCTAATTTATAATTGTGAAAAATTGAAAATAACTGATATGTTTTAGAACAAGAAATAGATAAGTTAGCTCTGATATAGTCACTGAGTGAAATATTATTTATCTATTTTTGAATGAAGGTAATAAAGACTAGCAACTTTAAAAATTAATGTGATACAATGATGGGGGGGAAAGGCACCACGTAGAATAGATATATTAAAAAGTGTAAGGAAATCCACAAATGGCAATTTTTTTTAAGTAGTGGGAGGGTGCCTGATTTTCTATGCCTATTAAAATATATCATTTTTGTACCTTTTAATTTTAAAACCTGGAATTATTGAAATTTGTAATTCTCATAGAAATTCCTTCCCTCCTGCCTTTTCAGATGTGAATCCGGTTACACTGGACAGCACTGTGAAAAGACGGACTTTAGTATTCTCTACGTAGTGCCAAGCAGGCAAAAGCTCACTCATGTTCTCATCGCAGCAATTATTGGAGCTGTGCAGATTGCCATTATAGTAGCTATTGTCATGTGCATAACAAGGTAGGTGATGACCTAAGAGACAACAACTTAGAATTAGAGGTGGGTAGCTGTTAAACTAAAGGAGAACTTTGAAGCTCAATCTAAATGATAGGGGCTTTTAAGTCCACTAGTCTATTAGGAAAAAATCCTAGGGTCCCATGTGGTTCTGACCTCTCCCTGTCTTGCTTCTTTAGAAGATGGCCAGAAACTCATTCTCAGGGTTTTGGGTCTATCTGAGCTGCAGGTAGAGGGAGCATGAGGCTATTCAATGGCATAAAGGAATTTAGGGATCTGAGAACGATGTGTCGGTTCTAAGCACTGCACTTAGGGACAAAAATGGTAGGAGCAGACTCTTTGGAATGGTCCGCACACACACAGAAGAGCCATGCCGAAAGTATGCAAGCCCTGCTGACCTGCAAGGTGTTTTATGTCCTAAGAATATACTTTATTCGTAGTAAATATAACAAGAAAGGAAGAAAGCAGAGGTCAAAGAAAACTGCTTTTCTTCTTATATCATTATCTTAACACTACTTCATTTTCTGGAATACGTCATGACTACTAAACTTTAAAATTCTATGTTACAACTAAAACCATTGGAATTTATCATAACTAAGCTGAAAATTAAACACTACTTGGACTGCAGTTAGCATAAAATGGGTGTTTCCCACGCTGAGCTGAAATATCTAAGTCAGAACTGACCTGGACCTGAGAAAAGTCAAAGCAAATCAGGTTCATGACCATTCGAATTTATCATAACTAAGCTGCAAATTAAACACTACTTGGACTGCAGGGAAAATGGGTGTTTCCCACGCTGAGCTGAAATATCTAAGTCAGAACTGACCCGGACCTGAGAAAAGTCAAAGCAAATCAGGTTCATATTGTCTGTAGTTTCCCAGTCTCGTGTCTTGTCTTGCTTGCCTCTTCCTTACCTCCTTTAAGGTTTGGTTCAGAAGTTTCATAAACATCATCCGTATACTTTTCTGGGCAGGGGAGTGGAGCATATCAAGTACAGAGATTGGCAGGCCAGAGGATTTATGACTCTACCCAAGGTCTGGATGGCAGCCAGACCTTCAGTAGTCTCAGCCATCTGGAGCTGGAATGATAAATCTAGAAATGATAATAAAAAAAGTGTTCTCTGAGTAATACATATTTTTCATAAAATTCAGGCAGTAAAGTCAGTGGATTTCATTCTGTAGAACAGATGATCTGCCCTTTGGCAAGACGACTGAGTATAAAATTGGGCAGTAGATGAAAGTAGGGACATAATGATATAAAAAGTAATGACTGCAGAGAGAGAAGATAGGAAGGAAAAAAAACAACAACAGGCAACAGCAGGCCTGCCTGTGGCCACTTAAAATAGGCTCTCAGGGGTTAAGGCATTTGTCTGTAAGTGGAAGGGCCTGGACTGGATGGAGTGCTGCCCGGGTCCCAAACCATTCCTCTTTCCACTGAACCATCTTGGGAAATATATTTACTAAGTGTGAACATCACATGGGAGCAAGGTTCCAACTTGATTTTTGGGTTTTTGAGTGGCGGAGGTATTTGGTACAAAACATTTTTTTCAGAGCATTAATTTGAGTGTCATCTGCAAAACTCAGTGGAGGAAAGAAAATGTGAGGTTAGGGGCGACCATTTAGGACATTATTAGAGTAAAGGACTAATGGAGTAATAAATGATTTGGAAGGTGAAAGAAATAAGGTAGAGATAAGGGAGGATTTTGAAGCCCAGTGATAGTGCCATCTTAAAGGAGATCAAAGGATGTCAGAATCAGCAGGAAGCAACTTTAGTTCAACCCCTTTGTTCTAGACTCTAGAATCTAGAGAAACGAGGAAACTGCAGTCCTGGGATGGGAAGTATCTTACCCAAGATCAGAGAGGACATTAAGCCCGCGTACAAATCCTAATCCAGCCTTTTATCCAGCTCTGTGCTGCTGTTCTCCGTGCGCTGTAATCCTCAGCTACTATATTAACTTATCTGGCTTGTAGTTTTCAAGTTAATACCCTCCAGTTTATACCACAGACCCATTTGCTGCCCTCACAGACACTTGGACATCACAGTATATTTTTAACTGTGTTACCGTATCTTTACCACCCACAAGTCTCCATGACCAAAGGGTCATCTCGTTGATTTATTATAAGTCTGTCCTTGAGGCCTGTCTTTTTATTCTGGTATTTCCTCTCCTAGAATGTCTTGCTCTCTTGGATTTAGAATATTATCATTGTAACTAGAGGCCCGGTGCACAAAATTCACGCATGGGTAGGGTCCCTAGGCCTGGCCTGCGATCAGGGACGATCAGGTTCCTCGCCTCCTCCTTCCCTCGCTCCCTCAGTGCCCCGCTGCCGCTGGTTGCCTGCCATGTTCCATGCCACTCCCTGGTGGTCATAGCGAGCGATTGAACTCCTGGTCAAACTCCTGAGGGGACACTTTGCATATTAGCCTTTTATATATATAGAGCCCGGTGCAAAAATTCACGCATGGGTAGGGTCCCTAGGCCTGGCCTGCGATCAGGTCCGATCAGGTTCCTCGCCTCCTCCTTCCCTCGCTCCCTCAGTGCCCCGCTGCCGCTGGTTGCCTGCCATGTTCCATGCCACTCCCTGGTGGTCATAGCGAGCGATTGAACTCCTGGTCAAACTCCTGAGGGGACACTTTGCATATTAGCCTTTTATATATATAGATTGCTTGGACTTATCTCCTTTGAATTTTTAGGGACTGCCTCTCCCACGCAGTCCATTGTGGAGCAGCTGTTCACTTATCCCATGGTGGCTGTTACATGCAAGGAATCTTCCTTTAAAAGGATGTTCCCGCTGACCCACTCATCAAGACTGCATGAGTAACATTGTTTTCTTTTATGCTTGGAATCTATTTTCTTGGTTTTTTGACTCATAGAATGACTGATTGGCAGGGACCTTGGACATCATCCTAGACAAACCCCCTTAATTTATAGATGAAAAAGCCATGGCCTCAGGGAGTTGGAACTTTTCCAGGTCATAGTGAATTAGTGACAATTAAGAGAGGGGTCGCTTGACTTCTCAACCAATTTCCCCATTTAGGAAATAGAGATGATTCCAGCACTATCTCAAAGTGTTTTTATGAAGATTCATGAGATAACATTTGTGAAAAATAATATATAAAATAGAAGTGTTACCACCAAGGCCTTTAAAACAAGGCAACGAACGCATTGCTATTTGAAATTGACTAAAAACATGGAAATTTAGGAGTACTCATTATGCAAGACTTTCTTTCCATTTGATTATAAATTACTTAAATTTTTTTTGTATCCTCATCCAAGGACATTTTAAAAAAAATATATTTTATTGATTTTTTACAGAGAGGAAGGGAGAGAGATAGAGAGTTAGAAACATCAATGAGAGAGAAACATCGATCAGCTGCCTCCTGCGATTATAAATTACTTAAATTTTTTTTTGTATCCTCATCCAAGGACATGTTTTTTAATTGATGAGAGAGAGATCACTTGCCTCCCGTATGTGTCCTGACCGGCAATCAAACCTGCAACCTGGGTATGTGCCCTGATGAGGAATCAAACCTGCAACCTTTTGGTGTACAGGATAATGCTCCAACCAACTGAGCCACCCAGCCAGGGCTAGATAATAAATTTCTTGCTGGCAGAGATTTTAGAAGTTAGTCGAACTATGTTTTTTTTAATTGATGAGAGAGAGAGAGAGAGAGATCACTTGCCTCCCTCCCGTATGTGTCCTGACCGGCAATCAAACTTGCAACCTGGGTATGTGCCCTGATGAGGAATCAAACCTGCAACCTTTTGCTGTACAGGATAATGCACCAACCAACTGAGCCACCCAGCCAGGGCTATATAATACATTTCTTGCTGGCAGAGATTTTAGAAGTTAGTCGAACTCTTAAAATTTTACGTATAGGAAAAGAAGGTTGCACAGCTAGTTTTTAGCAGAGCTCAAGCTCAACATTACCAGAACTCATCCCAGTCCCTTTATCCCACATTGCGTAGCACAGTGCTTTGTGCAGACACAATAAGAGCTCATATGTTTGCATTCTGTGGACAGGCACAAACACAGTTACAGCACGATGAGATTTATACCACCTGGAGAAACATGTACAGCAAAATGAGAGCAGAGTCCAGGAATTCCCCTCACCCACAGCATGGCTGTACTTTATTGGGTTCTGTGGTTTGCCCAAGCAGGGTGTGGAACGACTTGCAGTCATTGCCTAAAATCTCTAGGCATTTCCTATGTATTCCTATCGGAGGTTAAATAAGCATCTTTCTTCCTGATTTCTCCCTTCATCTAAGCTGCTCTTGTCATCTTGGGGGTGTCAATGTTCAGGGAAAGTAGATAGGCCAGGATCCTTTCTATTATCCCAGGTTTATATGTTATCAGTTTCTGGCGGGG